AATATTACTGCAGTAGCAGTGACATTAGTAGTATTTTTATACTTTCAAATGATATTGGAAACTTGTATGGTAGACTAATATTTAAATTTCATTAATTTAAAAATCGAGATCGTTTCGATATTTGAGCTACTAGAATTGAAATGAACTAGAATTTGATAGATTCTCTGGCTAGACTTTCTAGCTAGACTTTGATAGAGTCGATGATATTTTTCCTTGATTTTGTGCTCATTTATGGTAAGAGACAACTAATAGATTATCAGCATTTATAAGAGACATTATTCCCCGAAATTTCTCAATATGAAATTGACGTAATAAAATTATATTAAATAAACTACAAAGTACAAATAAAAGTAATGTTATTCAGCAGGAGTAGAACAATAAAATAAGATACAAAGAATTACTAGAAGAAAAGATTGTAGATTTTATCGACAGTTGTAAAAAATGTTCCGATTCGTATAAAAAAATTTCACAATTTTCTAAAAAGTTATAAAATTATTTATAAATTCTGAAAAATTTTGAGAAAGCTTTTATGATTAGATATTGCAATTGTCGAAATGAAATTCAAAAAAATATCGATTCGACCTTTGAATGAAAATATTCAAAATATAAGATTACATATCACATATTTATACCAAAAATATTAAAAATATCAAATTCTCATTGCACTCTCTACATATGTAATTTTTGATTACTTGAAAATGTTGAAATTTCGATGCAAGTTTCGAATCGACAACTTTTCCATCGTAACGTCGAAATGACGTCTTTTCGAGGAACTATTTCTGATTGGGATAATATTAAACACATATAAATGAAAAATGCCGTATTCGGTCGAGGCAGATCTTCGTATCCAATAATATTTCTTGTAAATTTATAAAATTTTCTATTCAGGCTAACTGTGCGATTATTTGTCGGTCTTGAAATACAGTCCTACACTGAAGCTGGAGTAATAATATCAATTTGCAGCAATGATATTAAATTGACAAGTAATTTAATATCAAATCATTGCTGCAAATAAGCATCTAATTTGAAAGCTGGTACTGATTTGATATTATTAGGTGTACAACTTTGCTTCCGCCGTTTTTTTCCGAAATTCGAGGCTTTATTGTAAAAAACTGGTTATACTGGTTTATGATTCAAAGTATTCCATCGCTGGCCACTACTTTCTCCCATCTTTCGGGTAGCGTACGAATCCCGCGTCGAAAAAACTGGTCATCTTTTGAGGCTATCCACGAATCGATCCAATTTTTTACTTCTTCATAAGACCGGAAGTGCTGGTCAGCCAGGCTGTGTGCCATTGATCGAAACAAGTGATAGTCAGAGGGAGCAACGTCTGGAGAATACGGCGGGTGGGGAAGGACTTCCCATTTCAACGTTTCCAAGTATGTCTTGACCACTTTCGCAACATGGAGTCGAGCATTGTCATGCTGCAAAATCACTTTATCGTGTCTGTCATTGTATTGCGGCCGTTTGTCTTTCAATTCTCGGCTCAAACGCATCAATTGCGTTCGATACCGATCGCCTGTGATTGTTTCAGTCGGTTTTAACAGTTCATAATACACTACGCCGAGCTGGTCCCACCAAATACAGAGCATGACCTTGGACGTCAAAATCATCGTTCTTGAAGCGTTGAAACCACTCACGATACTTTCTTTCACTAATAGCAGCCTTACCATAAATATTTGAGAGCATTCGATGAGCCTCAGCCGCAGATTTCTTCATATTGAAGCAAAAAATTAAACCCTCCCGCAAATGACGAGAATTTGGCTCGTAAACTGACATTTTCAATCGAGAATAACTTTATGATGCAGACACAAATCGACTAATGTTTCTATGTTGACAGATGCCCAAGTTTATTGTATGACGTCTATGGTCTATTTATTTCGACCACCACTTATCGCTAAAGCCATCTATAGGAAAACGGCGGAAGCAAAGTTGTACAGCTAATAATAAATTAATAATTATATTGATTAGTTAATTATTGAAATAAATATGAAAATATTCATGATATATTTTACGTTAACGGAAATAATTTGGAAATAACATGATTAAAATGTTCTTTGTGATGATTATATACTTGTTACTCTTATGAAAACTACTTACTACATGAGTGCAATTCCATGAGAAAATGTTAAGAAAAACAAAATTAACTTATTATATTTTCGATTTAAATATATTTCTGTCATTGCAAAGTGCGTATGCGCAATGATTTTAGAATGTCCGTGACTAAAGTCGACTTGAAAATCTTACAAATAGGACATTGTGTGACTTACAGACATCTCTAAAGTCATACTTAAAGTCGATTTAGGGACATCCATTTTTCTAAATGTCCAGCAGCTATAGGATGCATTCCGATATTCACAGTACTGAAAATCTATAGCACACGTCACATATACTGTATAGTTTCAGCCCTGGCAGTGAATATCGGAACGCATTCATAGTCGACTCAGAAGTCGGCTTAAAGTCGACTTTGTGTTGTTAGAAATTAGAATTGATTCTTTAAAATCAACTCATTTTTCCCTCTCGAATCAATTATGAAAATCGAAATCAAGAATCGATTCATTTTTCAGAAAACGGCATCACTACCATATCACTAGTATGCACTAATCAGAAAGAAATCTGAGAGAGGATATAAGTCATGACGGTCCAAAACCAGTAACCGTAAAATGCTGCTGCGCACTACCGCTCTCTAAAGAAGTTAACTACACAACAATATCCACCTTTTTGCAATGCTTCTGATGGAAATAAATCGCTGAAATCGTTGAAATCTTTATTAATTTAGACTCGATTGCACTAACGTTACTTTGATTTTAAAGCAAGGCTTAAAAAATTAGAGTTCTATATATGAGAGAAGCGACATTGGCGTCGCGATTTCTGATTGGTGTTCCCCCATCTAATTAAAGCCATATTGCCGCAGTGGAGAGCTGTCATATGTTTCCTTTCTATTGCTAAATTGATACATACATATACCTAAAATAAAGAAGAAATATATTTAGTATTTGACAAAAGTGAGGAAAAAATTTTAGAACAGTCCAGTAAGAAACCTATATTTCAATCGAAATATTATAAAGAATAAGAAGATATATTTTAGTATTTGTACATTTATTAGCTTAGGTTTATTAGCTTATAATAATTATTGTTATTATTTATATAATTATTGTTATAAATAAATATATAATTTGATTTATATTAATTTATTAATATCGCTTCGTAGAACACATCTCATTCTTCATTTGTTCAATATCAGAAAGCATCACATTTAATTTATTTAAGTTTGCATCATGCTCGTGTTCAGTCAGATGATTGTTTGCGAAGCTTCATCAATTTGACTCTCAGTTAATCGATGATTGATTTATTATTTACAATATTACAAAGAGTTTTTGGATTGCATTGATCTCTCGAATTTTTTAAAGGTTGATCCATTTTGCATTAAGAAAAATAGTCTATATGTCAGAAAAACTTAGTAGAAAATATGCTATTTCATAACAAATATACATATATGTACATTTATAAATGAAATAATTAATGACAATTAAACTAATTTGATCTACATAATTATCTTGTCATCTTTGTGTATTTGCGCAATACTTTCTGATAAAATAGAAAGAGAAACATAATCATGTTACAAAAATACATAACGTTATTGCAATAATGCATTCAATAAAATTATAAAACTAATTGTATACAATATGCCGTTTATCTTTTTATATAACATTTTTAATTGCATTATTTAATCATTATATTATTCAACAAGAAAATACAAAAACATTAATTATTAAATATTACTTATTTAACCTTATCCTGACGGAGTTCATGATTTTTATAATGGAGTAAATAGTTTCATGGGAACTGACCAGCTGATCAACTGGAGCTAAATATGGCGATGCTAAACATGTGCTAAAGGTAGTAGTGATGATGAATGTCACTTCTCTCATATATGGGACTCTACTTAAAACTCTCTCTGTTTCTTTTTCCTTTAAAACGAGATGAAGAGAGTTTTGCTTGAAGTAAAAGTAATATTAATACAGCCTTAATAAATTTTAGTTATTTTAAGCCGGTTCATTAGTTGCAAATCAATCGCAAGTTTGTTGCGACAGCCAATCTGAAGCTTGCATTTTGAAATAAATACTTTATATTTAGCGATTTCAACTATCCATTTTCATCAGGAACACCGTAAAAAGATGGATATTGTTGTGTCCACTTCAGAACGCGGCAGCATTTTGCGATTACAGGTTTTGGCAAGGCACTATACTATGAGTATTCGCATCCATCATTTTTAGTCCTTTTCTCACTCTTGTTTCTTTCCTCAATTCCTTGCTCTCTCTCTCTCTCTCCACTCCGCCACTGAGATTGAAAGAAGATTGAAGAGAGAACAAAGAGTGAGGAAAAGACTAAAAATGGCGGATGCGAATGCCTATATTATAGTGCATTAATTTTGAATCGTCATGTTTTCTCTCAGGTTTCTCTCTGCTATCACTACAAAAAAGTTCGTTCACTCGCCGTTCAATGAAACTTTCATGTCTGTGCATGATCATTGCTGTCGTAACTCGCTTCCTTAGCCGGAATCGTCATCAATTCATCGACGAGCCCGGCGAGCGCTCTTTTTTCTGAAGAAGAAGAAGCTGCCATCGTCATCTTTCGCTTCCGAAAACGTTTGAAAAGATTTATTTGCAGCAACATGTCTGTCGCACGATGCGCTCGTTTGTTTCCCTCATCGAAGGTACCTGTCATTTGAATAGCGATCGTGTAACTTTTCTCTAGAGCGAAAACAAGAAAAGTGAAACATTGTGTGTGTGTATATGTGTGTGTGTGGGGGTGGGGGGGAGTGTACATACGTCGTACATATGTATATAAAAAATTTTCACTTTTCACGTTTCCGCCGTAGGAAAAAAGTTACACGATCGCTACCCTTATCGAACTGACTGTCAACATAACCTCCAAATATCTTCTAATGTCTATTTCTAATGTATCTATTTTTATGCTTATTTAATGTAGATTGAGAATTTGAATCTTGATTTATCTTAATATATATTACTCTTTTTCTAATTTTTATAAAAGGAAAAGAAAAAATGTATTAAACTGACAATTTCTGTTTATAGTTTGGAACTATTATTGAAGCATTCGTTCGACAACATATATCTACATATATATTCGTACAAGTTTTATCGAGAATGATTTAATATAAACTGAAACGTTTGATACAATTTTAATGGATCATAATTTTATTATTAATACGTTGAGTCAATATTGAACTGACATCATGTCTGGCTCATTGCACTGTATTCGTTAATTTTTAATATTAGACCGAGATTAAAGTCAATCTACAATAGTAGAAGTAGACATGAACCAGAATCATTTCCTTGAAGTTATAATCGCACAATGCGATTCCATTAACAAATACTTGTTTCAGAACGCGTTATTAATGAACCAGAGAGTAACACATAGGGATCTTAGTACCATCAGGCTGTTATCCACAATTTCGAAGATGCAGCCACCAATGCCTAGGGATGTCCATATAATATCCAAGCACCGTACGTCTACGGAAACTTTACAACCAAAGATAGGATTTTTTGCAAGAATATTGAAAAAAACTGGTATTCTAGACGTCCAGAAATATGTAATTAAAAGTTTTTCATTGCCATTCAACCTTGAGTGGTGAAATGAGAGCATTTGTACTTTTACATCTGTAAAAGCAGTCTTTTTAAATCCATATATTCAAAGTTATCAATGTTAATTGAATATTATTACAGAGAAATATGGATATGGGTTATGAGGTATACGAACATGTAGTTAGTCAAGTGGATTATCCTTTCTTCTTTAAATGTAAGTTCTCTATTATAAGTGTTGTAATTCTAACTCTTGCATACATTTTAAACATGTTTTTTTGTAGATTTTAATATGCCAGATACATTCTTCACTTGGTTTCTGGTGACAGAGCTTCATGTCTGGATGATAATGATTCGCTACATGGCAGATGAGAAGGATGGAAAAGCTATCAGAAATTATGCAGTAGCAGCAATGTGGCAGGACACACAAGCCAGGATAGAAAATCTCGGTGTAGGTAGCATTGTGATTGTACTTTTAATATACTCATATATATATATATATATATATATAGGATACGATCAACGCGATACTTTGACGTTTTT